TCGTTATGTTGTATCTTGATGGAGTGCTATAAGGGTACCCACTTGAAAAGGCGCCACGCAGCGCCTGCTCAGAGACGCCGAATTCTGTCCTGCTACGAGTATTAATCCTACACTTCCTGGGGATTTATCGTCCCACTTATGTCATCTAGTGCTGGACAGAGACATGACTGCAACTGTGTCGAAGTGAAAATACCTTACCAGAAACCACCGCCTAGTTTAATTGAAGTATGCAGCCGTCTACCACATCTCAAGGATTCCGAGCATACATAAGTGGTTGAACAAGAATTTGTCCCTTTCCACACTTTTTAAGGGTCTTTTCATGCATTCTATCAAACGCTACACTAATTAACGTGAATTTATTGCAGCTTCAATGACACTGTTCAAACGAAACTTGGAACTCTTAGATATGATGAAAACGCCCCTGTTGATGACTTACCGAGCACAAGTTCCCGTAAGTTTTGGTGGTACTCACCGTTTGTTTGTGTATGATTGTTCGTTAGTATGCACAAATTTTCAGGAAAATCAGCTCTATTACCTCACCCAGCTACACAACGTTCCACAAACGAGCAACTACTTTCGGAGCGACAGCGTTATCCCAACTCTTTAATCAATCAACGAGGTAAAACCTCGTCGTTGCTGTTCGTGACCTCAGAGGAATAGCTTCGTTCTGTCTGTTGTGGCCCTTCTCATTGTGTCAATAAATTTGTTTGGTTAACAAGTTTGTCGAGTTTTCTTCCTTTTATAGGTTGGAAGGAAAGTCTTGTCACTGTTGTGACTTTTTCTTTTTTATTTTCTAACTCAACATACAGTGGGAATTAGTCAACAATATACTCGTCATAGTTAGCCACTATGCTGCTTCACCTAATGGACAGGTAAGCATTCCCCCTCTTCCAGAACTGAGGAGGCAGGGAGTCAAGTAAGTCGGCGACCTCTCCACTGATGTCATCAAAGTTGCTGACAGTTTTCTTAGCTAAGAGAGCCTTGAGGAGGCGGAGCAGGTAGCAGTCGTAGGGCCTATGTCAGGAGAATATGATGAGCGAGGTCTGGTCTCTCACCCTTGCTCCTCAACAATTTGGTAGGTCTCCATACTCGGTCATTTTTCTCCAACAGTTTCCACGGGTTTCTGGAGCTGAGTGGCACAAATGGTAGCGGTGACCGTGTGTTCTTACAGAGCAGCTCGTTGTGCACCGTTGCTCCTCGCGTCCCAGGAGCAGCACA